CCCGCAGCCTGTGGGGACGGTGCTCAACAGTGATTTACCAATCTGCCAATTCCGCTGTTAGTGGGGGTGCTCATCAATGTGACCAATCAAGTTGATCCCGCAGCCTGCGGGGACGGTGCTCAACAGTGATTTACCAATCTGCCAATTCCGTTGTTAGCGGGGGTGCTCATTAATGCGACCAATCAAGTTGATCCCGCAGCCTGCGGGGAAGGTGCTCAACGGTGATTTACCAATCTGCCAATTCCGCTGTTAGCGGGGGTGCTCATCAATGCGACCAATCAAGTTGAACCCGAAGCCTGCGGGGACGGTTCTCAACAGTGATTTACCAATCTGCCAATTCCGTTGCTAGCGGGGATGCTCATCAGTGTGGCGAATCAAGTTGATCCCGCAGCCAATGAGAACGGTGCTCAACAATGATTGACCTATCTGCCAACCCCTCTGCTAGCGGAGATGCTCATCAGTGCGGCCAATCCAGTTGATCCGTGTACTCCATGTTGGAGAGGCTGCTCGCTCTGCAGGATCGTTTGGAGGGCATGATGACAGCGGAGGACGGTCGGGTTTGGGCTAGGATCCCGTGGTCCCCCGACGTTCGCGACATGGCGCGTTGGGTGCGCCGACAGATCAGGTGGTCCCCTTGGCGGGAGAGGATGCGTGCCATCAAGCATGTCATGGATCCTGTCATGGACTTGCTAAGGCGGATGGACCGTGGCGGGCAGTTCATGTCCCTCGGTGTAGAGTGGACTCGGGATCCTGCACGCCTTGTGCGGGACGCTTGCATTCCTCTTGGCCAGTCGTTTTCTGACCGTATCATGAGGCGTGTGCAGGCCCGTATACCGCACATGATGGAGCCCGCACACTGCGCCGCATTCTTACTGAACCCCCGTCGTCGGAATGTTCAGTACTTCTCCGCGGAGCTCGACCGGTACCACACTTGGCTTGTTCGACAAGCCAAGAGGTATCTGTTGTCTCAGACGGGCCACGACGAGTCGGGTGGTCGTTACCTTGAGGTATGTGGACAGTTCGAGGACTTTCACATGCAGCAGGGTAGGTATGGGTCTTGGAGCGGGGCAAAGGGCCGCGCTCGAGCGTGTAGTTGCAGCGGAGACTGCGAGACGGAGTGTGCATCGTGGTGGTCTCAGTACGGGGGAGACGCGCCCGATTTACAGCATTGCGCTCTTCGTTTGATGCACATGTGGTCCTGCGCCTCTCCAGCGGAGAGGAACTGGGCGGTCCACGAGGGCATCCATACGAAGAAGCGTAATCAGTTGGCCTTAGAGAAGGTCATTCATCTTGTTGAGATCACCGCAACTGTGCGGTTGATGGAATATAGACGTGCAGGTTGTGGATACGTCCTCCCTTGGCAGCGAGACGAGGGCATGCTTGACGCTAAGGCGGGATTGGACATGGAGCCTGTGCGCTCGGGGACGAGGAGTGGGATGACAAGGGAGGAGATCGAGGAGCAGGCTGCCCTCGTTGCGTGCGATCCCATTGGGTCTTCTGCGCCGCCCCCTGTTGAGTCTGTTTTCGGTGCTCGTGCGACTATCTTCCACCCATACCCCAGGGACGATGACTCTGCGGACGAGAGAGAGTCGGAAGCAGCGGACGACCCGATGCTTCCCATCCCGCGTGAGATTGATGAGTTGCACGAGGGGGGCGACGTGCGTGACGAGAGGATGCACACCGCACGGAGGGCGGCAGACCAGCGAGACATGGATATGATGGGGGGCGAGGAGTTTTGGGGATCTTTCGGGGGCACGGAGGAGAGATCACCCACTGCCGCGCGGGAGGATACGCGTCCTCGCACGACCTTGCGGGAGGAGACGCCTGCTCCCATGACTGCGAGTGAGGAGCCGGGTCCTGCCACGACAGCGCGGGAGCGGACGACTGTTCCGTCGACCGCGCGGGAGCGGACGGCTGTTTCGTCGACCGCGCAGGAGCAGACGCCTGGTCCCACGACCACGCGAGAGCAGACGAGTATTCCCGCTACGCAGTCCGGACCCTCGTCCCCGTCGCCTCTTTCGCGTCATTCCATCCCAGGATTCCCAGCATCTGCTCCGCCCGCTCCCGTTCGGCATGACGAGCGCTCACATGCACCGGTTGGGAGGGAGGACTTGGGATCCTCGTTGCGCATCCGCGGGGATGGATCATTGTTTAGCATAGCCCGTCAGCTCGTTTTGGACCCGCGTGCATCGAGCGACTTGGGGGAGATGGGTGTTCATAGCGGGGCACCACCGGTGGAGGAGAGGGAGAGATGAGCGGAGGAGCACGGAGCCTCCGGAGCGGGCGGAGTTGAGGGTATTCGGGGTATGGAGGAGGAGGTAGCTGGAGTAGTGGGGGGTGTGGTGGAGGTAGATGATGGTGCGCACGTCGAGAGAGAGGAGGCCATGGCGAGGGTTAATGATGGTGAGCAGGTTGAGGGAGTGGAGGGCGTGCTGCCATCAGAGGTTGAGAGAGAGGACAATGTGGTGAGGACGCAGTCTGTCTCTCTCCCGGAGCGTCCTGCAAATGCCTGCTCGATCTCCTCTGTGGAGTACCCAGTGGCCGCTAGGGCACGCGCTACATCCTCTCTCTCTGCGTGAGCAGGGGTGGGAGGATCCCCCAAAGACATGTCCATGAAATCCCCCATCCCCAGCCCTGACGCCCCCCTCTGTCCTGATGGCGACGCCCCCAGTGCCCTCCTCATGCCCAGGGTTAAACCCGCTAGTGCGGGACCCATCTCGTCATCGACGAAACGCTGGACGATCGGGTCAAGGTCGCCGCCTCCCTCTCCTCTACGATGGGCGACGTCCCCCCCTACCACACCCTCCTCTCCCCCAACCAACGCAGCAGCATCTGCCCTCACCACATCCTCCTCCATCTCAACCTGGGCATCACCATCATCTACCCCTGCCACAACCTCAGCCGCGAGATGTTCGCGGGGTTGGACAGGCCGGGTGTACCTTGCAGGCCGCTTTGGCAGCAGCAGCACGTGCTGTGCGTAACCAGACTTCGCGCAGGAGCGAAGTAGCTCGTACAAGTTCCATGCCTCAGATGATGCCTGCCACGAGGGAGGAGTCTTCTGGAGCCGAGGGGTTGGAGATGCCGCGCGGTTCTCGTCGTGAGAAGATAGTCGCAGAGGTGACTCAGGTGAGTGCTAGGCTTGTTCGGGTGAGGACGGGGGCTGCCCATGTGACCGTGGTGGAGGACGATCCCGGAGCCTGCACGTGAGGAGGCCCCACATGAGGGTGACGAGTACAGGGACGACGAGGAGCGTGGGGAGGAGGAGAGCGACAGCGGGGATGATGACAGCTACCACGACGACGACGACGAGCCCTCCCCTCCACCGCGGCATGGTTCTCGTAGACGACGTGGCTCTCGTAGAGGACATGATGACGTAGACGACCCGTCCCCTCCAGGGCGGCGGGAGACGAGGAGTCGGAGGAGGCGAGGATCATCCGTTGCAACAGCGCCGGGGCGAGGGAGTGTTTCGTCGACACGCAGCACGAGTGGGGTGAGGCAGAGAGGCAGTGGTAAGGGGAAGGGAAGTCGATGGTATTGACAGCTTCGTTCCCCTTCCAGTGCTTCCACGACACCTTTATGTTGTTTGTGCTTAGTGTTCTGACGTTTTTGTATATTGTTTAGGATGATGTACATATAGTTAGGTTTTAGGGACTTCGGACCAGTTCATGGACTTCAGCATGCAGGTAGACTGGGTAATGTCGTCGAGAGTGTTTGTTTGTTTCGTTTTTCGGTTTATGTATGGCGTTTTCATATTGTTTTTTAGTTATTGGGTTTTTGTTAGAGGTGGGACTTCATTCTGACTTGTCGTTTTACGTAGATGTTTGTTAGGGTTTTATTTTGAGCTTTGTTAGTTAGCGGTGTCGGCTGCATCCCATCTGTGTACGGCCCTGTGCAACTCGGCACGAGTGTCGACGACACATTGTACCATGTGAGATGTATTTCATATTGGACTCCTATATGCGACTTCGCCGACACTTCGGCATGACTTTTGTATGACATTTCATGACTACTTTGTTTTCATTGTAGTTTCATGTTCTTCTATGCGGTTATTATTGTGTGTGTGTGTGTGTGTGTGTGTGTGTGTGTGTGCGTGTGTGTGTGTGTGTGCGTGCGTGCGTGCGTGCGTGCGTGCGTGCGTGTGTGTGTGGGAGTTTGTGTTTGTGTGTATGGGCAGCCCTCCCCCAACAATCATTCAATTGTTACGATCCTGGTCGTTTCCCAAGTGCAATTCACAATGAAAGACAATGCCACCTAATTGTGAAAGAAATGAAAGCACTTGCAAAGAGATAAAGACCAGAGAAGAGAGGGGAAGAAGAAGAAGAAGAAGAAGAAGTACACCAGCAAGACCAATGACAATTCCCCCCTTCTCTCTCCAACCTCCTCCTCCGCCTTCACTTCACCAATCTTATTCGTCTCTCAATAATAATAATAACAATGGATGGATGAACTAGAATCAATATCTGAAGTTCCCTCTTACTGCTGACTCAACTCCACAACAACAACAACAACAACAACAACAACAACAACAACAACAAGCCCGCCATAGTTATGGCTTCCCTCCTTCAGCCTTCCCTCTCATGCACAGGCTATGACGGACTGATGAGGGCCCTGCCCTCCTGTACAAAACACCACCCAAAGCAGCTATGGTGCTGCCGATGTCCAAAGGACAACCCAAGTGCAGCTATGCCGCTGCTGACTGGTCCTCCATGCCTGACTCTGCCTTGAGCTTCCTTGCTGCAGCGCTACCCCAACTGGGGCCTTCCGGATGCAGCGCCCAACAAGGTGATGAAGACGGTGTCCACCATAGCCAGGTAAGTGCCTCCACACTCTCCTACCATGCCCCTTTTTCCTCCTCGTCAAGCTGGACTGTTCGCCATAGCCAGGCTGAGCTCCAGCGGTCCCTTCTCCCTCCAAGCAGCGTTGTACCTCCAGCGCTGTGCTCCAGCAGCAAGTCGCCAATCCTTGCACACCGCAAATGAGGAAGAACTCTTTGCTCTTCCTGGAGATATAGCGGCCTACCGGCCTCCTTGGCGGTGACTTCCTAGGCCGAGCGGCCTCCGAGCAACCGGTACCTCCTCCCTTTCGGAGGGAAACATCATTGCAGGCTCTGCTATCCTCCGGACAGGCC